TGAGATGGAAGTTGTTATATTCATTTAAGTTTCTATACAAAATGAAAATGTTTTGGAGTCAATATATTTTCCTTTTTTTTGTTGTTATTTTTGGATATAAAACATATTTGTCAAACTTTAATGAACGTAGAACAAGTATTGCATTGCTTTATATTTTTTGAAACGACTCATAATAATTTTAAACAGTAAAACATTGTTTTAGTTCAATATTTTTACTTCTATTTAAGTCATGTCATAAAGCATTTTTAGCGCAATTTTCGCAATTTAAGGGCATTTTTTGCACTTTTAAGGGCATTTTTTACAGTTCATAAGGGCATTTTTTGCACTTTTTAAGGGCATCAATTGAGATTTTTTAGGTCATCAAAATCCGGGCTCTAGTTATGACAGTGAAAAGAACGCTCAGTGGAAATTTTCTTAAAACAGCTGATACGGCGGTAGTTACTGTTTTTTAATCTAGAGAGTAAATAATAACCGAAACCACTAAAAAAATAAAATACGAAATGTCACGCGCCGGCCACATTTTCCACGTGCGGGACACAAAAAAAATTTCTTTGAAGCCCACCTTTTCAAAAAGGCAAGAATTAAGTAAATACATAAAAGAAAATAGATAGATATCTATTTCGATTTAGTTTTATTCAAAGAAACTGCTTTGTTACATGAAATAAAAGAAATATAAACAATTCCATTTCCGCTAAATATAACGGCAAGTCTTGTAAAATGTTACATTGTTTTATTGAAAAATACTTAATTTCATAATAAAGTCTTGGCACATTAATTTAAATTGCAAAAACAAAATAGAGGCATGAAGTAGAGGTTCTTTTTTTCTTCTTAAGCACTGTATTCAAATAACAAAATAGAAGAAAACGGGGAAGTAAGAAAAAATTTTAAAAAAAAAAGGAAAGACGTGCAGGAAAAGCAGTTTAAAAGTATTTTACGAGTGACAATTTGATCAATCAACTATCTTCTTTCATAAATGTAAGTAACAAAGGTTCATTTCAGTAAGATTAAATTAATAAAATTAAACCTAGTGTATTAAACCGAAAAGACTCAGAAATATTATATTGGAGAATTTTAACTAAATCCGCAAGTGCAATGCACTGAAAAAAAAACTGTTAAATTTATGGAAAATAACTGTCAGCTGGTGTTCCTTATATAAAACTGTTTATTTCACAGAAAACTGTTATTTAAAAATGGACAACTGTTTTTTAAGCAGATAAGTACTGTTATTTTAACCAGCAAACCCTTTTACTTAAATAAATCAACAAATTTTGACAGAAAATTCTATAAAGTTACTTATAACATCCTTGAAGTCGGGACGAGTCAGAAGCAGCATTCTTATACCTATAGACGATGGGATTCGAACCTGGGGCACCTCATTGAGAGAAGGGAACTCTGCTGTTTCAAATACGTAGCTCTAATGCCTTAGAAACTTGAACTGTTTTTATCTTATAAGTCTTACTTTCTGAAATAATATTTAAGTATAAAAATGTTTGAAATAATAGTGGTCTAACAACAGAACTTAGCAAGAAATTATGGCTTATGAAATATAATAATTGGTTAGAACAGGGATGGCGAACCAATTACACGCGTGCCATTTATGGCACGCGACACACTATTCTGGGCACGTAACTGATCACAACGTTCACTATGAAGCATATTAACAATTAAATTCAAATTCACAAAAAAATAAACAATTATTAACAAAAAAAATAGTAATTAATGCCAAAAAAACAAACAATTAATAACCATAAGAAACAAGCTAACAATAAATAACCAGCAAAAAAAGATTTAACAGTCCTGCTTTAACTAACATCTTACAACCTAATATAAGTTATTTGTCATCTAATCTGCAACAACGGAAGTCACACTGATGTTACTTTAAGTTGAATTATGCTTATAACTGAGAGATTGAAAAAGTTTTTTTTTTCACGGTAAATAAAAAGTTTTGATTTGTCACGAAGTCAAAATTAATTGACGGCACGTCTATGACCTCATTAAACAATTTTTTGAAAAAATGGCAATTTGGTGCATAAATTTTCGCCACCCCTGAGTTAGAATATCAATTCGACAATAAAATCGAATAGCAGTTTTATCATTACGGTGTTCAAAACCATAAAATAATTGCTGAAAAATACGAGTAAGTACCGAAAATAAATTGTAAAATGATTTTAAAATAGGTGGAGTTATCATACAGTAATCAAAACTGCACGGCAAAAACTAGAATTTGAACTGACGGTTTAAATTCATTTATGATTAAGTTTACAGAGAAAAACCGTTTTGTCAACAAAATAGCTTTAAACCATCAAATATACAGAGAAAGTCCTTAAAATGAACTTTTTTTTCTCCTTTAAGAAGAAGAAGCTAGAAATTATGTATCATCAAATGTAGAAAAATTCCCGGAAATGTCGCTAAAATTTTTCATTCTCAGATTTAGTTAGAACTCGAGCTTAAAGGGTTTTTCCACCTGTAGAGCTGTCTCCCTTCGTTTTCTACGAGGATCCAATCACTACGTTTCTGATTGGACGGTAAGCTGTGACGTCACACTATGCTTTTATAAATAAACTCTCTTCTCTTCCTCAGTTTCTCATCTTGACAAGTTACAGTTAAGGCAATATCAGCAGCACAATTAGAAAATTAATATATCATTTTTACCGGCTTGTGCATGCATTAAGCTCACGGTAAGTTTCATCATCATTTCGTCAAATGCGTAAACTAATTTTTATCCTACTGTTTCAGTTTTCTAAATTTATTTTGTGATTTTTCGAAATTAAAATGTGTTACATAATGGAAAAGTGAAAGCAAATAAATATCAATAAGCAAATGTTGCTTATTTCTTCTAATTAATTATAAAAAGGCGTTTGTAGTTTTATTATTTAAAGGCTATGAATTATTTAAAAATTTAATTATAACATTATAGTTTTCATAACTATGCAAAAGGGAATATTTCTTCAAATCAATTTAAGCTGATGTTTTAATTTTAACCATAAAATTTTGATGTTTTTCATTTGTTGTAATAGCTTTAATTGACTTATTTAATTTAATTTAATTCGTAAAGTTAAAAACAGTTAGTATCATTTTTAGTATGACATCTGTGTTCTAATTTGTGAAATGACTGTTCTTTTTTTTTTTTCAATTTTAATATATTTCTTAGCAATTCAGAAATTTTTTTAATTCATATCATTTTAAGAAAGTATATTATTAATAATGAAATCTTATTGCTTCAAACTTTTTGATTTGTTATTGTTGTGATATGCTTTTTTCCAAAATATTGTGTTCCATTGTTTCTTTGCGCAGCAACCTGTGGTGTAGCATTTCGTATATTCCGTGTTAAGCGATCAAACAGATTGAAACAACTCTGTTGAAAGATGAGAGTGATATTACCCAAAACTCTCAATGTCATACTACTCATAATTAATTAATTATATGCAAATGTTTTCAAGAATTAACAGAATTTTCAAAAAGCATTATAAGCAATACTGTGATTAATAGTAGATATCGTTAAATCTTATATTTATTCGTTATAGATTATGACAGTAAGAAAGTGTTCAAGATTATGTGATGATAATACATTGTTCATTAATGTTATAGTGTATAAAATGGTGCATTTTGATATATTGATCGAATTTTTACGGACTCAAACTTAATAATTTAAAAGCCTAAACTTAAATATGTTGATCAATAAGTGCAGACGCGATATTTTAAGTAACGAACTAAAACCTAATTTCTCTGAATAAGTATATATTTTCCCCCCGACGAATTTGGATTCTTGGCTTTCACAATATGAGAAGCAGCTGCATGGTAGGATTGGGTCTCTTTCACGTTAATTTCACTTCCTACGTATTTCGCCCATCTTGTCTCTAAAAATATGGGAAATAGCCGTTATTTGGAATAGCAAGATTGGATTTCTTTATCTTAATTTAGTTTTCTTGCGTATTTCGCTATATCAGCAAAGTCATATTTTTAAAATTTGTGGTCTCAAAAATTATTTGACTGACTTGATTTAAATTTTGGATTTTATCTTTTAAGCTTATGTAGATTAAATTGGTATGAAAATTTGCATACATTTTAATTCGAAATTTTTTCGGCCATTACTAAATTGAATAATACAAAATTACTAAAAAAATGATTATTTACATGGAATTTGTCTTTGGATAAACAGGTATTATGACATAATGCAAAGTTTTTTTGATTAACTTTATTGTCCCGCAGTGGACTGATCGTTAAGACACGGTTCCCAGCAGATCGCTGAAATCAAGCATCACTGTCTGCGGTCAGTGTGCGGGTGGGTGACCACTTGGATTAGTCTGCGTAGGGACCGAGGGTGTGCGGTATTGTTCCTCGTTAAACTGTTCTACCGTATGTTCGCGTGCAGGTCGTCGGGCTACCGAAGTGGGAGTACCATCCCCTCTGCAGAGGATCAAAATTGTGATGGCATGTCTTCGGATCATCCTCAGGAATGTTTCCCAGACCGTCGCCAATAGCCCATTGTGCAGCTCTAGTGCGACGTAAATTAACTACAACAACAACGATTCACATTATTAGCTTTTGACCTACGATAAAATACACAAAAAGTGAAATTAATATTACCAAGGTTCCGATTGCTCTTCTGCTTTACTGTTGAGACCCCCGACCTCGCATAGTTAGAGAGGTCAAGATTCCAAATCCGTCGTAAAAAAGATATGTATTATTAAGAGAAAGAATGTACGTTTTTGTCTCTGATTTCGCAGCTTCAGACTTTCATCTTTTATCTTTTCAGACCCTTATTAATTACCATATTTAAGTTAGGCCCACAAACCATTAAGATTAAACTCAAGTACATGAAAATCTAATAATTTGATCCAAAGTCATTTAGGTTGTTTGCCTTTTTTGAGCACTGTACAATTAAAATTAAACTTTATTTATTTGTTGTAATTTAAACAGTTTAATTACCATTACATTTGTAATAAAATATGTACCTTCTAGTATTCTGTACATGATTAAACTGCAAGTTGATGTAGCGCAAGTTATATATTTACTTGAAATTAATCACTCAATCGACAAAGCAACTTTTTTCATATTCATACACTGAGAAGAAAAATATAGTAAAAACTATTAGAATATGGTAAAAAGATAGCTCTATGAAAACATCAAAAAGTTCGGTAGTTTTTACCGAACTGGTTGATTATAACTTTAGGAAAATTAAAAATGAAGTAAGATTTTATAATATATGACAAAATTTGATAAATGTTGTAAAATTTTCTAATTCGATAAAATTTACTTCTCAGTTTTTTTATTTTTTGCTAAATGTGTGGTAATAAGAGCTATAATTTTGAAAACCGGAATTCCAGTAAACTGTTCATCAACAAGATTTTTTTCCCCACTTAGATATTATGTGCAATTGCAATTTTGTTTTTGCACAACTGAATAGCAATTTATATTACCGTTCAAAAAACTCGAGTGTTCGTTTTTATTAATGTTATTATTAAAGTCATTTCAACAGCTTAAAGAAACTATGTTTTCAAATGGATCATTATCGTTGTAAATAAAAGTCATTTATTACCAGTCATTTATAACTATTTTTAATTTTAAATCTAGCAATACGCAATTCTTCTTCTTCTCATTCGCACGACAGCCCAGGATGGGCCCTGGCCATCTCAACAAGCCAATGCTAAGACACTAATATGCAATTCACTAACATTAAATCAATCATGAAAACTTTTCCAAAATTTTTGCTAATAATTGCATTTTATTTTATATTTTGTAGAATAGTTATGTTTTGTCTACTCTCCATTTCAAGGTTCACTTTACGAGTTGATTACTTGAACTGAGGGTAGATAATACCCCCAGTTCTATGCATGAATATTTTGACAACGTATCATTTTAAGACAATTTTGATGATATTTCAATTGAATCATAAAAATATTGTATTTAAACTATTTTATTACAAAAACAAATTAAAATTAAAATCATGGTGACTTAAAATTAGCTCTTTAGCATTTTCTAATTTGAATTTTTTTATGAGTTCTGATTCTGTTATGTACCCCAACATCAATAAATATAGTCTTTTTTTAACTCTAAAATTTAATAACAAGTTATAGTAAGATCAAGATTAGTTCTTAAGTGTTCGAGGAGTTATGGGGAAAAGCATGAAATATTTATATTTTTTTTGTAAAATTAATTTTTGCTATACTATTAAGGTGAATTTTTTTTTACATATGCGCATTATAAACTTCATTCGCTTATTAGCTCATTAATTTATGATGGTAAACCCCATAATATTTTTTTATGTACAGAATATCCTTTAATCCCCCTCATATATTTTCAGAATCTTTATCGAAAATGTAGATAAAAAAGCATAAGTTAATATTTAAAATATATATATATAAATATCTTAACGAAATCTGACAAAACACTACTGAGAAAGGCGGACAGAAAATTAAAACCTGTTTGATTGCTGTTTGAAACTTGAATCGCTATCAAATTTTCATTATTTCGCGGAACGTGAAATTTTTGTTTAAAAAAACCGCATTTCATATCTTTCTTTCTCAAGAACTATTTGACTGATTTCGTACAAAATCTTGTATTTTATAATTTAAAATTACATAGTTTCAAATGGAGCAAAAATTCATATGCTTTGCAATTCAAAACTTTTTTGACTATTATTAAATGGCTTTATGTGTTTCTTTAGCCAAAATTTCCAGCAGCTCTCCTGACTAAATTATAATTGGAATTACCGTACATTAGATAATTTTCTTTCTAGTAAAATAAGAAAACTACATTATTATATAAAGTCTATTTCTATTGGAAAAAAAAACCACAACACTGGTTTATAAAATCAAAATATACGGTATTTAAACCACTCATACGGCAACGCTTTCCGTTTGTAACGGTCTACCGGAAATTCAGGTTTTCAAAATTATAGTTCTTATTATCACACATTTAGTAAAAGATACAAAATTGAGAAGTACTATTCACCAAATACGCAGTTTTTATGCCCTAAAGTAACATGATAAATTACCATATTTCACCACATTTACTAAATTTTATCACTTATTAGAAAATAAAATTTTTTTATTAATTTTACCAAAATCACTACCAAATCATTTCGATAAGATTTATCGAATATAGTTTTAGATCTTGCTCCCATACTTCTGAATCTTGGTCAGGGCCACAGTAAAAATACATAAAAACTGGAAAGCAATAACTAGCATACTTCAATATATTTTTATTCAGCCCCGCTTTTTCCTTTAGGGCATAAAAATCAACCTTCCTTTAGGGCAATCAAAGAAATCAACATCATTCAATTTAATTCGAATTCAATGACTTTTGTTACTCTTCCAACAGATGACATCAATACATTGCCATACATTTACTAATAATTACAAAACTGAGAAGTAAGTTATACCAAGTAAATTTTTTTAATGCTATGCTTTAAGGTATTGTGATTAGGTTACCAAATTTTACCTCATTAACTGCACAACATTTGGTTAAAAAGCTTTTATAAGATTAAAAAAAAAACATATTTTATTGTTAATTTAACCGCATTCATTACCAATTCGCTTCGGTAAAATTGACCGAGATTTTGGTGATTCCATAGTGCTAGAAACACGGTAAATTTTACCAGATGCGAATAGTTTTGAACATACTTTTATTTTTCTTAGTGCAAACTATCCTCCATATTTTGATGGAATCTAAAGGA